GACAATCATGAATGGATTGGAATGGTGAGAGAAAATTTAAAACCATTCACATCGACATTGACACCTCATTGATTTTCAATAATTTATGGAGCCAATTGTTTTCTGTTACCTGCCCATTCCTCTCCATTTTTTATTCTTATATAAATTCGATTTTTTTTTTTTTTTCCGATTTCGGTATCAAGAATTATTTTCGGTTTTATTTTTCGGAATGATATCCGGACAGATCGAACCATCATCTGTAACAATAACAATCATGCAAAGAGATATTTATGATATGCACACACACACACATGCATGCATGCAACAGGTAATAGATAAATGAAAAATATTGGGTGTCACTTGAAGCTAAATTTTTTTTTCTTTTTTTTTGTTTGTCGCTTGATTGATCATTTCTGCAAAATGAATGTATAAGAAAATGTCATTGTGATCGATAACACAAACGATATATATATATTGCAAAAATAAATGTTTTCGCATTTCTTTTTCTGAATCGGATTTTTTCAACTTCTTATTTTCTTTTGAAAAAAAATGATCAGAATTGATTGTGGATTGACTAGAGCTTGGATGGATGACTGGAACCACACACAAACATAGTGAACGTACGCTTCATTACGATTGTTTTTTTTTCTAACTTGTTGTTCAACTGGTTAGCATACAATTTTTTTTTCACACATACACTTCACTTGATGATGTTTAAAAATTTTTTCCTTTACAATCAATATCGAGTGAAAATTTTGACCAAATCAAATTATTGTATGCAAAAAAATCACCTGATTTCCGTTATTACAACAACAACAACAAGTACGAAAAAAAAATTCAATTAAATTGAGGTTGAATTTTTTCATGCCAAAAAAACAAAATCAACTAAAACGAAAACATTCATATATATATAGAAAAAGAAAATTACGTCACCCAACTTGGTGGTTTTGCATCAAAATTATTTTTTCATCATTCGATATCCGCATGATGATTGTTAATGTGCGTGGTGAATGAAAAAAAAATACAACAACAGAAAATGATTATATACAACAACAAATATCATACGATTAGATTCGCAAATTTTTTCATTTCACATATTATATTACAATTTAAGAAAAATATTTATTCATAAAACAAATGATGCTACGAAATATGTGAATGTGTGTGTGTGTGAAAAATGTAATGAGAATCGCCATCATCATGAGCATTGTAATTATTATTATTTGAAAATATTATTCTCTGGTGATATAGATTGAATGGACTTCATCATCTCATGTCACAATCATCATCATCATCATCATCATCATCAGTGGCCCAATTTTCAATTTCACTAATAATCATTTTTTTCATATGCATATTTGATTTGAAATTTGATAAATTTTTCATTTTCTTTACGCTCATCAAATTTTCAATGAAATAAAATGAATGAACTTGATGGTTAAATTCGATGTAAATTTTTTTTTGTTTCTTTTCTTGAATAATGATGATGATAGGACATTACATAACTAATGTATGCATGTATGTCGTGTGGATGATTTTCTAATGAATCAAATTACAAATCTCTCACGGTACAATTAATGATTGTTTTTCTACAATTCAATTAAAATTGATCCAAAATTGATAATGATGATGGTGGTGACACAGAGTAAGCGTATAGAAAATGTTTGCCACTCAAATTTTTGAGCAACAGCAAAAAAAAATGATCAAATTTCCACTCATTTGATTTGTTTCACATTTTTAGGTGAAAATGATTACCACATACTGACCACTTAAATCAGTTCTGGCCAATGTGGTATTGGTGCCCATATAATTTATGCCATGTGTATGTGTGTTTGGAAAGATTAAAACCCATGGATAAGACAAAAATAAATCTGAATTTTCATTTTCTCATCGAAACATTGGTGTTTTGATTAGTTTTAAATCCCATATATATGCCAAAACCATAAACGAAATCAAATGGAAAAAATCATGTTGTTAATTTTCTTTTGGGACCCGAATTGAATTATTTATTTTTTCGTTTTGTTTTTACTTTTCATTGAATCCTAGGAACTGAATGTGTGTGTGTGTGTGTGTGTGTACGTATGTGTAGAAAAAAACAACTGCAGGTGAGAGATCATTGAATATACTTGTGAAATAATCAACATATGTATGTGTACAAAAAGGTACAAAAAAAATGATTTTTCCTTAAATGATCATTTTGCTGCTTAAAATGTGTGAGAAAAAAAATATACGAGACTTACTTAATTAACAAATACATGTGAGTACGACTGGATGACGATTTTTATGTATGAAAAATAAATAAATTTATTTTATTTTCCTCTTTTTACAAACAAATTTTTTTGTGTGTGTTTCTCTCCATTCATTTGTTTGTTTGTTGTTGAATGTGATGAACGAAAAAAAAAAAATAAAATCGATAAATGAAATGAAATGAAAACAAAATACAGGTAAACATGTCCAATACTCTCATTTGGATTCATTTTGCTAATTTTTTTTTGTCACAAATATTTGGTCTTTTGTGCAATGATCATCTTTTATTAAATTTTTTTATTGAATATGGTTACTCAATGTTTTTTCTTTTGATACAGGTACCATTTGCTTTACAAAAATCAAATCGATCGTACTTGTTGTATTGAGCATCCAATAATCTAAATTATTATTATCATCATCATCATTATAATCATTGTGGATTGTCTTTAAATGATATTATTACTACCATACACATCAGCTTAATTGATCAATGAAACATTGACAACCACCACAATAATGACGATATAAGTTGTGATTATTAAAAAAATAAAATAAAATGAAATTCATTTATTGATTGATTGATGAATTGTACGCTAAGTTTATAATGCTCATCGATCGAAACAAACCAAATCCACGTTTTCCAGTAAAAAAAACCATTTTTCTCGGTGTATATGTGTATATATGTCCTTGGTTGATGATTGTCGTTGTCATTACCTTTCAACGACTATCGATTTGTATGTTTTCAACTGTTTTTTTTCGGTGTGTGTTGTGTGTATCCATATTTTTTTTATCTCCATACATTTCACTTAAGACATCCAAATGATGATGATGATGGATGGATGGATGATGATGATTTTAAGGAAAATTTCCAGTGTTTTTCAATGAGCTTTTTAAAAAAAACAACAAAAACATTAAAATTTACCTGTTCTACTAGTGATTTTGTTGTTGTTGTTGTTGTTATCACCTGTTGAATCTGTTTTATTTAACAAAAAAAAATTCAAATGTTCATCTGGATTATAATCGTATTAATATCATTATTTTTTATTGCTAAATTTTCACAAAACGATGATTATAACGATGATGATGATGATGGTGAAAACAAAAAAGAAAAAATATTTCGAAAATATGCCTGGAACCATTGGTTTCAGCTGCCAAAATCATATCTTATGATTTATTCCAAATTGGCATTACCGCCAAGATCTTTATTTAATCGAAAATCGTATCATCACCATCACAGTCAACAACAACAACATCATCATCATCATCATAATCCACAACACCATCACCAAAGACAAAGGTTTGAATGTGATCTATTTTTTTTCTCCCTTTCATTTCTTTTATTTTAATGTTATAATGAGATTAAAAGAAAAAAAAATGAATGGACGAGCTTTTACCTGTTTGGTTTTTTTTTGTTCTCATTGCAAGCTGTGCCATTATCATCATTTACCTTAATTCTACCGTTTTTTTTATCTTCACTTTTTTTCATTTTATTTTATTCATATTCTTTTTAATCTAAATGTGTGTGTGTGTGTGTGTGTATGTCTCCAATCATCATCTATTGCAAATGGTGGTTTTTTATTGTTCTACATTTCTTATGGATGTTGGACAACGATAATAAAATGGTGATGATGAAGATGATGGGCGATGATAATAATAATGATGATAAAGTCTTTTTCTAATTTCCGATTTTATCATCATCAAATTTCTTTTCTATTTTAATTCATCATAGATTAAAAGTAACAACGAAAAAAAAACGTTTAAATGATATTTGAAGTTGTTTTGATACGAAATTTTTTTATCTTTTTTTTCAAATTCAATTCAATGAATATGCTATAAACATATTCTTCATCTATTCATTTATTCAATGTTATCGATAACTGTTTTGATGATCGAAACGATACGTTTCTGGTACGGTAAATTTCGACAACATCAGCGACAGACATGTTCAAAACAAGATGATGATGATGAAGATAATAATGAGAATTTTAACATTATTGAAGAAAATGATGCTGATCATCATCATGATTATGAATGGATCACGAACAAATCCATCATCTATGATGATTTAAAGAAAAATTTTGAACCTGAACTTCCAGTTTTTCAATCCGTGTCCAATGAACATCATCGTCATCATCATCATCATCGTTATTGTAATTGTTCAAAATGTTGTAATTTCAATTTGAATACCAATGTTTCACAACAACAACAACAACAATTACTAACCGAGATTAGTATTGGTGATGAAAAACATGTTCGAATACCCAATGGAACAACAACAACAAGGTTTGTTTCAAACACGATTGCATTTGCACTGTTTTTCTCTTTGTTGTTGTTGTTTGAATCTAATTTAGCAATCGTTTCCCGTCATCATCAATAACAACCATACACTGTATTCCAGATTTGATTCAAAATTCGTGATGTTGGTTCGTGTGTATATTTATTGATTGTTCGATAGGTTAAAGCTAAAAACCAAAATTCGAAAATCAATACCGATGTTTTAATGTTAATGTTAATCACCATTAATCAATGCAAATAATGAGTTGAATGGTTTTTTCTCTTATTCGCTTTCCTATTTTTTACGGTTATTTGATTCAAACGATCGCTTTTTTCTTTGAATAATCGTGAGCCTCGGCTTGACTATATTGCCCGTGTGATTATCTGTGTGTGTGTGTGTGTGTATTGATGATAAAAGAAACCAATATTTAAGAAATGAATATTTTTTGAACAAAAAATAAGATAACTTTTGTCATTTTTTCTTTTTTTTTCACCAATAGTATTTTCGGCTACTGAAATGTCCACAACAAAATCAACAACAACGAAATTGATCAAATATAAAAATCTATCGACATCAACAATGGCAACAATAAATGGTTCATTGACCAATGGTCATCATAATCATCATGATAATATTATTGTTGATGATGATTGTAATGATAATGTTGTTGATTTGGGTGAACACAATAATCGCCTATCGGAATGTATTGGCAATATAAATGGAATCGATGAACCAGATCATTCGATCAATTCGACAATGATAATGATGATGCAATCGACAACATCCATGCTCGATGATGATGATGATAATAATGATGATGATGATCAAGAAGAATCATGTCTTCTTTGTAATTCTCGATTCGATTTATCTAGACATAAGCGTCTTGTTTGTAAACAATGTTCATTGAATGTTTGTTTCAAATGTTCATTATATGATTTCGATGCATGGATCTGCATCATTTGTCATCAACAACGGTATGTTTACAATATTCAATACAATAATTATTTTCAATTCAAATTTGTTCTCTTTTTCTTTCTATCTCCATAACAAACGAAAAAAAAAATATAGGACAATATCAAACAATTTCCAATGTCAATCATGGCTTTGTAAACGTATCGTTAAACAACAATCTGAACGCGAATTGTTACATTTTATGAATGCAAAATTAAGATATGATTCAAATCGACAATTGATCAATAAGAAAAATGGTCATAATAATAATAATAATCATAATGATGATTGTGATGTTGAACAAATTGTCAAGAATGAAATTACGAATAACAACAACAACAACAATAATAATAACAGCAATGGTAACAAAAATGATTCATTATCATCATCGAATGGAATCGATAATATAATGGGTAAATTTTTTTAGATTTTTTCTCATCTAACATTTCGATCCAAATTATTATTTTAATGATAATGATCATCATCTTTATCATCATTCCATATAATGGATGCTTACATAAGAATTTGATGAACATTTCTTCAAAACGTTTATAGAGATGGAAAATGAGTGAAAAAATACAAATGAAATTGTAGATGAGAATGTTTAGTATCCATATTTTTGGAGGCTCAAGTTGTTGTAGTTGTTGTTTTATATAGATTTTTTTTTTTTTGCTTCTGATATGGTGAATATAAATTTTTTTCAATATATTATTTTTCATACATATATTTGAACAAGAAAAACTGAAAAAAACTGGATTTTTGCCGGTTGTGTGTGTGTGTGTGTGTGTTGTGTTTATGTTCAGATAGTTGTTGATGTTTTGAAGATTTTCCTGGTCAGAAAAAAAGCTGTTTTCAAAAATGATGGCAATGATGTTGATTATAATGGTGTGGATGCGCTTGATTCCCGTTTTTTTTCGATTACATTTCATTCATTCATCTACTTTTCTATCCGACCACCATTGCCATTCATGTCAAAGGCATACCTGTATGTTCTTGTACCTTTATCATCTTAAACTTTATGTATGTATCTTTGCTGCTCTCTTCATCTTTCAAGGTGAATGTACTTGCCATTTTTTCGCTAAACTATTCCAGAAAAAAAATATTGACTATGATTATGATGATGATGGTCATAAACAAGACTTATAGATTTTAGATTTTGGAAAAAAAATTCTTTATTTTTGATTTTGGAATTGATCCTCCTTATCATCAATGAAAATCATTCGATCTCATCTATTGAATATAGGAATTTATTTATTAAATAATGGGAGAAAGAAAAAAGAAATCTCTTCAAAATATCCGGTTCACTCCGAATCATTGGCAATCATGGTTCATCATCTAGTCCAATCTATTGTGTGAGATAGAAATTGTTATTATTTATTAGGCCAAATCTAAATCTTGAGAAAAAAAATAAAATAGCACTAGCATGAGTTTTGGGTTGAATGAATGCATATTTTTTTTCTGTTAGATTGATTCATTGATGAATATTTTTCTTTCATTATAATATTGCTAGCATTCAGATTTTTATTTTATTTTTCCTCTTGAAATTTGTTATAAAAAATTTTGTTGTTCAATTTGATTCGATGATGATGATGATGGACACGACCACCATCAAAATGATTCACTTGTTCTTGTTATCGATCTTGTCATCATCATCATAATCATAATCGACAGATAATATAAGTATCAACCTACGCTACACTTGTTTGAAAACTATCAATATGTGTCCGAATATCAAATTGGACATCCACATTTACATAATATGGATGCTGATGATTATGACGATAATCAACAGACACAACGAAAAATCCAGTACAAACAAGAAAATATCTAGACCAAATAGACCAAATCTGAATTTGATTCATATAATTTTAATATTCGATAAAATATAAGTTCTACAGACTATTAATTTTTTCTTATTACATTTTCTGAAGTATAGCAATCGATGGATCAAAATATCCATCTAGCATCTTTATGTCATTTTTTGTTCCACGTTGATAATTTTTTTATCCGTTTAAATTTTTTTTTATCTCTACTCACTACATTTTTGATCAAAAATGACAATTAGTTTCGTTGAAAAAAAATTAGCTTCCGACTTGTTGTTACTGGCTATAATTGTCGTCCCAATTTATTGTTACCTGATATCTGTGAATTATATCCATTGGATCATTGGAGGCAGAAATATATAGATCGGCAAAATGTAATTTAGTCCCGTTATTTTTTCTCTCTTTTTGAATGCAAGTTTGTTCATTTTTTTTGATCAATGATGATGATGATGATAATCTACTTTTTTCCATCATCATTACAATTTTTGGTGTTTTTCTGTTTTGAGATATATTTTTTTTTTATTTGTTGATGATCGTCAACAACATTGTTACCATCTGCAACAGTTTTATATAGCATAAAATATAATAATAATGATTGAATATAAATTTTTTCACGTAAATAACTATTTTTTGTTATCTTTTTACAAGTGGAAACGAATGGCGAATCATTGGATGTCGATAATCAAATGAGAAGCAACAAAAATATTGATCATGCACACATGAACAATCGTTATGAAAATCTTTTAGCCATACGTTCGGATATGGAATTAAATTTGGCCAAATTATTAGGCTTTGATTCGATTGATTATTCACATATTGGATATATTTTTGATGATGATCAATGTAAGTAATAATAATTTTTTTTGTTGTTTCTTTATACAAATTTCTATTTCTATGAACAAAAACAATGTCGGTTGCGAGATCCAATGGATCCAATTGCTTATTTACCGTATTTTGAATTCTCATCGTGCACAACACATACAGACAATCATCATCATCATCATTATTATAATTTTTATTTTATTCACTCGTATGCATAATCAATTAATCATTTTTTTCTCTGATATGAACACGCATACAAACAAAGAAAAAAAAAATAGAACTTGCACATATACAACATATACATCTATTCTTGGGATGTGCAAGCCGGATTTTATTTTATTTTCTTTTTATATTTTTGTTTTTTGGTGTCATACATACAGGTCATCATCAAACAAAATCATATGCATCACCTCCCCCGCCTTCTTCTTCATCATTATTATTTTTTATTATTATTATTATTTCCCTCCCCTTCTTCAGATACTTCAGTCTGCCTGTCAATTCTGATTTCACGCTGCTGATTATTTTGTTTTATTTTAATTTTTATTTACTTCCATACCATGTTATAAATGTGTGTGTGTGTGTCTTATATTCAGAAAAATGTTCAGATCACGGGCGCCATTTGTTTTCTTTTTTTTTCTTCGACCATATATAAAATGGTTAATATTATTATGATGATGATGATGATAATTCTATGCATACAACAAGATATATTATACAAATTTATTTGTTCTGTCCGAGTCGGTAATAATAATCATTCACGATGATGAAATAAACACAATACAATATAATAATAATATATGTTTGGAGTAAAATAAAATGAAAAAGAAATGTTCCACAAGGGAGTGTTCAACGAAAGATATATAATAAAATAATCACAAACAAATCTCTTGAAAATTGGATTTTTTGATCTAAATTGATGATCATCATTGATTTTAGTTTTGCCGTTTTTTTTCTTTTTCTTCTTTCTCACTAATTTAAATCTGGTAGGCATTGTCCAATTGATTGATTGATTGATCGACTGGATCAATCTTGATTTTTTTTCCGATTTTGTTATGGTTTCAGGAAAGAAAAAAAATTTTTTTTTTCATTTCAATTTCATTTTTTCATTCATTCCTTTCTTTGAAGATAGAACAACCACTAGTTAGATTAATCATATACACAGCAATTTATGAATTCTTTCCTTGTTTTATAGTCACACAATCTAACAATTATTGTTTAATATGATCAATACAATTAGCTTCGATTCGAAATGAACATTTTTTCAAAAAAAAAAAAAAAAAATCTTGATGAGTAAATTGAACGCGATCTGATTGAAATGTATATTTCATTCTATCCAGAAAAAAAACAAACCATTCATTGATTCATCCATTTTCAAATCATACTCATCACTATACGCCAACGCTTTTCGTACTAGCATTATTTTTTTTTTTTTTTTTTTTGATGATGATGATTTTTAACCATCAAATCGAATCTTTCAATCACAAACAATGATTAGATAATGACATGGTCATCGTTTGAATTGTTTCATCATAAAATCCAATGATAATATAATCTTTGATCTAAAATTTTAACTGTTTTTGTTTTTGTCGGCCGGTTGGCTTATATTTACCGAATAAATTTTTTTTTTCATTAAATCCTCTTTTTATGATGTGATAAGATGTTTGTATATTTTTGTGTGTGTGTTTGTGTATATGTTAGTGGTGTTGAAAATTCCGTTCATTATTATTAACAGAAGAAGAAAAAAAACAATATTGACGACCTAAGGCAATTTCCATTTATATGATTGAAATTGGGGCCAAGAATTTTTTCTTTCTTATTTCGCGTTATTTTTGACAGGCATTTAATATTTAGCTATAAAACAAGATTTATATATATATATGTGTGTGTGTGTTTAAAACCGTAGTGTGAAAATGAACAATCATCCTGGAGTAAAGAAAGAAAAAATGATAAAGGCGGACGAAACACACAAATATTTGAGACCTGTCCGGCTATTCACTTGACTATCGGTCAGTAATTCGTTGTAGGATTGAAGAATTTTTTTTGTTCTTTCACAACAAAATCAATGCCATCTGCCTATATCTGTTTGCCTACCGAAAGAAATACCTCAATTTTCAAATTACATCCTTTGTATTTATTATCGCAATTTTTTTTTGTTGAATTTGATAGAAAACAAGATTATCAAAAAATATGATGATGATGATGATAACCTTTTCAATGACCTATTTTATTTATGATATGATTGTAACACTGTTTTTTTGTATGTCGATTATCAAACGTTTAAAAAAAATCAATTATTTCAACATAATGCTTACAACCAACAGGGTATATGTTAATATTGATTTTTTTTTCGGTAGTTTAAATCGATTATAATTGTGATCATGTTTTTTTAAAATTCCAAATTCTATATTTGTTTAATGATTTTTCTGATCCTTTCAATTGTTTGTTTTAAATTTTTTTTCCTCGTAGATAATCAATTGATCAAAACCTTTACACCATTGTTGGCCAATTTGTTTACAATATTACAACAATCAATATATGATTGTGATTGTGGTGAGTGATTAATATTTTGTAAGATAATATTACCATTGTAATCGATTGAAACATTGTTTGTTAGGCCGTGAACCAGAAACAACACCCACTCAAGCTTATAATCAATTAAAAGAAGCTTTACAAAAGATTAGTGAAAAATCATTCGGATTTACTAAACAATTGCATCTACCATCACAGCCATTAACATTGACAGAAGTGGAAGATTTCATTAATAATTGTCAATCATATGAACACCTGTTGGCACAATCTATTGTTAATCAGGTTTGTAAAATGAATGAATCATTAATTTGAATTTGCAATTAAAAATTATCATTTTCTTATTGTTTGTTTTTCTTGTTCTTGTGTTTACAAAATTAGATCATTGAAGATGGACAAAGTCGTTTTTTGACTACAGCATCGACATCATCATTTAATAGTTTCAAGAGTAGTGCATCATTCATTGATCATTATAGTCATCATAATAGCCATATAAATTTAAATCGTATCCGTACGGTTAGTAGCGGTTGCGGTGGTAGTAACTGTGGTGATGGCCATTGTTCAGCCATGAGTGGTGCCAATAATAAAATGGATAATGATCATTCAATATCTTCATTTGATGATCAACATAGCTACTGTGATCGACAATTAACAAATGATGATATTGATGAAGCCATGCATAATAATAATGATGAAGAATTGAATGATCATAATAATTATGGTGATGGTGATGATGATGATGATTATGACGATAATATTGAAAATGATTTCGGTCTTGAATTAAATTTCGAACAATCAAAGGTTTATTTTCCAGAAGCCGGTCTCGATTTAATTGATTCGAAAAAATATTCATCAACTGAATCGAATCTTTCACAAGATTCTGGTATCAAGTTGATTGATAATTCACATTCGTGGCAAGATAATTGGTTTTTCAAGAAAAACAAAGAAAATAAATCTTATAATCAATATCATCTGAATTCAGATATTCATTTTGGATATATGGCATTAGCTTTAGCAGAATCCGTACCAATGTTGATACCAAATCCTAGTCAAGCAATGAATCCTATGTTGGGTGACATGGAAGCTGATCAAGTTTCCGATTTATCTGAACATTTATCCGAAACTGGTTCAATAGTATTTTCTTCAGATGAAGAAGGAGATGGTCCAAATGTAGATACTATTGATAGAATGAAGAATGTTGAAAAGAATAACTCTTTGATTAGTACGATATCTCCGATGGATATCGATGTTAGTAATACCATAGCCAAATCACATAAGGTATATATTGAAAATCGTAGAGGAGAATCGTTTCCAACGGTAACGAAAACAGCATCGTCAATCGATTGTTCAACATTACAAAATCGAAAAAATAAAGCCATCATTCAAAGTCTAAGATGGACTAAAATCAAAGTGCCAGATTTTGTGCCAAGTGAATTACGAACAATATGTAATTCAATACCAAATCCACGGCTAGAAAATTTGGATTATATTCCTACTTTTACGATGAAACCTGGAAATGCTTCCATACACAGTGGAATTGTGGCACAATTCTGCTGTAAAGCCCAAGGACTGTTGCCATTATATTTCGCTTGGTATAAGGATGGCCATTTGATTGCTGCATCGGCCGATGAATCGACTCGACGACCCGAAGAGATTGAAAATAGACGATTAGCTCGAACATATTTTGGTGTACGATTTATACATCGCCGATATGTCGAAAGTAATTGTTCCGCATACCGTTTAATCGTGTTTAATGATAATGAATGTATATTGGAGCTTAAAAAATCTAATCCGATGCATGCCGGTATCTATTCGGTGGTCGCTTATAATCATGTTGGTCATGATTGGTGTGATTTTAAAGTGACCGTTGATAGGCAACATTTTTCTGCTGTTCCTAACCCGTTTAATCAGCAATTATCATCTATCGTAAATAATAATCATCCAATGTCACCTCGACCTGTATTAAGGCGGCCACAACATAAATCTCGTAAGGTAGGTTGAATATTGCAAATTTGCAATAGAAATTTTGATTTCGGTGTTTAAAAATTCATTTGCTCATTTTTTTCTTATTGGTTTTTTTTATTCGGGTTCTTTCTCTTTCTTTTCTATGCTTTTTCCATCATTTCAATCCTATCCGACAATGATGAATCTACGATGACAAAAATCAATCATTTACAGACAAACATGAATGAAGTTTCTCAACTGGTTACTAGGATAGAAAGTCCCATGACCACTTTCCTTAATCAAGCTAAATTAAGAAATGATATTAGCCATCGCAAAGTCAATCAATCGAGCTCATCTTTGCCATCATCACCTCACGTGATACAGCAAACATGGGAAGAAAGAGAGGCATTAAATTCAAACGATCATAAATTATTATTGAAGATTATTCAACATCAACAAATGACATTGCCAACAAGTTCAAATGTACAATTTGTTCGTATCGATGATCATGATAACACTCTCAATGTTAATAATGGTGGCGGGAATCTTTCTAAAGTATAATTTATAATCATAATTATTGTTATTAATAAAAAAAACATTGAGCAATAATCTTGACATATTTTCCTATTGTTTTCTTAGGTTTCAACCGATTTAAATAGTACAAAATCACCTCAACAAATCATATCGACAGACATTGTCCATTCTAAAACATATGGAGATGATGGACAAATGTTAGAAGAATATGATGAAACAATACAATTATTACAAAGGGAAAGTCCGAAAAATTCCAATGATCAACTATCATCGGAAAATGTTTCCATCTCGTCAAATTCATTAAATGATTCAATTAATATACCTGTGATGCCAATAGCTGAACGTGAACATCGTAAATGGAATAATCCCGATGTAAATCTATTGAATAATCCATATTCGCCTGAAAATATTGAGAAACGTTCAAGACAGAAAATGATGTCATTTTCTCCCGAGCTTTTATATTCACCGGATGCCACATTGAATGATGATCGATTGGATGGAATGGTGGTGAAACCTATTGTTGATGAAGAAGAGTTTGTGCCGGAAGAAAAACGAAAATTTTTCCATAGTGCCAGAGATTTAGATCGTTATAAACGTAATTATTATCTACCAAAAAATAAAAAATTACCAGAAGAAAAATATTCATTTTCAATTTTATCGGTATGTAAAATATTTGCTAACTTATATATAATGTATTAATCCTCTAAACAATACTAATTGTTTCCATTACTATTCATTAATCAATCAGTCATTGGGAGGGAGACCTTCTTCGGCGAGATCATCTTCGGCTACATCGATGAACAAAAATGAAGGCCACAATGAAGTCAATGGACTGTCGTCGACAAACAATAAAATCAACGGTGAAAAAATGGCTGTTAGTCAAATCAATGTTGAAATTGTTGATAATAATTGTAAAAGTACATCAACAGAACAATTGGAATGTAGTGAAATTTCCATCAAGATTAACAACGATAATCGTGATTCGATGGCAACAACAAGGATTAATTCACCATCCAATAATGTTGAAATTGTTGATGGTGATAACAATACCTCAGCAATAAAAACAACTATGAAATCAAATGATTCTAATCATCAAACAATTGTAAATGACCAGAATAACATTAAATCTAATCGAATTGTTGGAGAAAAAACAAGTCCACCTATAAGCAGGAATATGGTCAAAAGTTTGACCTCTCTGTTTTCGACATCAACTCAGCATTTACCATCATCATCTTTATCATCGCCTTTACCATCACAACAAATATCTAAATCGAATTCATTATCTCAAATTCCACAGCAACAGCAGCAACAAAAACGATTGTCTAATCTTAATGCTAAAAATTATGCTGTATGTTGCAATTTCATTCACAATAATGATAATTATTATTATTTTATATTAATGATTATGATTTTCAGGTTTACAGTTTAACAGGTCGTTCAATACCTAAAGAGATTTGTGAACAAAATCAAAAGAACTTACCACGGTTTACCGAACAAAATCGTATTGGCTTGGCTAATGAAATATCATCATCATCATCAACAACAACTTCGATGAAAAATTCAAGTTCTCAAATTCAAATTAAACAAGAACCTAGTGCCACTACGACTTCTATGACCACTTTATTCGTTGAACAAATGACTTTCGACGAAAATAATAGTCAACAATCAAATGAAGAAAGGTAATGGAAGTAAATTTTTTCAATGATCCGTTTGAATATGGATTTTTTTATAGAAATTCTTCACGTAATAGCAATTCTAGTTTGCGATCACTAGAATCTAACGATTCAACAATATCATCAAGTATAAATTCATTGGATAATCAAATGTGTAACGGGAAACATAATGGCAACAAAAAGAATAAAGGAGCTATTGGTGCTATCAAACAAAGAGCTGTTTTCTGGGAAAAACGTATCGAAGCAAGTCAAATTTCGGACACTCAAGTACAGGAAAAATTTCCAACAATGGATGGTACGGAACCGAAACCGATCGTATCAGAATAATTTTTTTCTCGCTATTTTTACTGCACAATTCACTTTGAAACATTCAGATTCTCTTATTTATTTTTCCATTATTTATTTGCATCAAATTTATCTTTTTTACTTTATTATTTTTTATGTAAATGTAAAATTTATTTATTTACTAAAATTAAAATTGAAAATGATGAAAATCAAAAAAAAAAATGATTTTTGAAAATCTTATTTTCGAAAATAAAAGATAGATGGTGCTAATATTCGAAACAAAGTCATGTGTTTTTGTTGTGATTCTTCATCTCTCGTTTTTATTGCATCAATTTTCAACAATTTACAAAATGGTAATTTCATTTTCACACCTATCATAATTATGAATTATTTTCATTCATTTTTCAGAGTTCCGGTGTCATTCTAGCTGGTTTGGCTTTGGCCGCCATCGGTTATGGAGGTATATGAACAGAACAAAAATATAAAATTTTCAAATGTCTATTCATCATGTCATTATTCCCCCAAGGTCGAGCATTGATGCGTTCATCTAAAACGATCGGTGATACATTATCCAAATCGATACCTTCTTCAGCATTTAGTAATAGTAAATATTATAGAGGTGGATTTGAACCAAAAATGACGCGCCGTGAAGCTGGTCTTATATTGGGTATTAGTCCATCGGCTAGTAAGAATAAATTACGTGAATCACATAAACGGATCATGTTATTGAATCATCCGGATCGAGGTTTGTGACATTTATTTATTTATTTGAAATTATAAATTATCATATTTTATTTTTAAATGAATCCATTAGGTGGTTCACCTTATTTAGCTGCCAAAATAAACGAAGCAAAAGATTATCTAGAAAAAAATTCTCGTCCAGGACAATAATCATCTACGATTGTCATAAATCATAAACATGCTTTTTCATTGGAAAATATTACAGATTTCTGTTAATAATGTAGAAATAATTAAAAAAATGAATTTTTCGATTTCTCAATATAGATCAATCAAATTATGATCTAAACACTTTTTTTATCCATAGATGGCAGATGAAGCTTCATGAAAATTTGAATAAAAGTAAATTTGGCACGAGAATATTCATCAATTCTGTCGGTCATCATTATATAAATTGTGTGGCCGATATGCATTGGACATGACATGATGCACACACACACACACACACAATTTCGCATATTAATTAATTGACATATCATTTTCATTTTATTCAATATCACATGGGAATAATGCAGAATTTCTGAATGAATGATGACAACTATAAAAAACCATAACAAAAGAAGATGAAAAAATGACATTATGTATAATTTTATAATTTTCAAACAAATTGTTATTTTTCTACTACTTCTCAAATGTCTAATTATAATGACAATATTGATCATTATGATCATAATAATCATTATTATGATTGGTGCACTGAATACATTAATTTTTTGAAATTCTACCAAAAAAAAGTCATTTGTACTTGATTAACAAATTCAGCCTTCTTTTTGTTTCTCTAACCTTCCCCCAATCATAATCATCTCAGGTTAAATCTGTGGGTGTATGGGTTGAACAACAAAATCAACTAAAAGTTTTTATAATTATAAATATTAGGGGTAGCAAAGTAACAAAAAAAAAACTTTGGCCAATGCCGGGTAAATGAATAAAACACACTATGATTTACCATTCTCTGATGATGGTGGTGGAATAAATAATTCTTGGAATGGGTTATTCTTTTTTTCAAAAGCAAAAAAAAAAAAAAGTTAGCAGGAATGAAAAGTGGTCATTATCACGCACTCACTATTTTTTTCTTTTGATTACGCCCGTAAATTTTATGATGTCATGTTTATATGTGGGTGTATGTGTGTGTATCACTAATTGCCATATTCTAGTTACATACAGATAGTAAGAAAATAAATAAAGTATTGAAAAACACTAGAAATAATGATGATTATGATAATCATCATTATCATTATCATTTAGATAATTTCTCATCATCATAATCACTAAATCAAAACAAAAATCTAGTTGTTCGAGTTTATAATGATGATAATGATGATGATGATGATGACAAATTTTATTCTTTATTTTGAAAAAGAATATAATGAACAACTTTTTAGTTGTAGTTAGTTCATAATCGACAAACAGATTCTTTATTGAAATCAAAATTATAAAAAAAAGAATTTATAAATCAGCCCATCATCACTGCGATAAAAAAATAATAGATTATTTGTGATTAAAATATCGATGAATCACGAATGTTTCCGACATTTTTGTTTTCATAATCGGGGACCAACAGAACAACGAAAAAAAAAATTCAAATGACTAATGATCGGAAAATGTAACGGAAACACGCAAACACACACATGCACAATTACATGAACAAATCGAATGATATCGGATTCTATAATTATCTCGACAATTTCGATCTTTATAGCCATTTTTTCTCATTAATTTTTTTTCTCTCCAATAACAATATCAAAAAGAATGAATGAAAATAATCGATAATCGATTAGTAAAAAAAGAAATCTGGCCGATAATTATAAACGAATGTACAAATTTTATGTTAGTTCATTGAATATTATTTTTATTTTTATAAATCTCTGTTCATGTCATATTAATCGATGTCACTAACACACGCTTTTGTGATCCAAATTAGACCCATATTCAGCAGGGTGTCAATTAATAATATTTTTTTTGCCATCTACATCTATATTTGACATTAGCTAATATACTAATAATACAATAATAATAATAATAATTAGCTCTTCCTCTTATTTTTCAATTCCAAATGATGCTAAATTAATTTATCCACAACGAATTCTTATTGAATCATCATAATTCATTTACAGTAAAATTGAAAAAAAAATTATCACATTTGTTTTTTTTTTTTTGCTATTTGTAACAATTTCAACTTTCAACTTTAACCCATGATTCAGTCATTCATTCATTTATTTCTCAATTCTGTCATCCAAATCATAAAATAAATTGCCAATAGAATGGAAACAATACATCATTCGTTTTGGTTCATCTATCATAGATAGTATATGAGTAGTAGTAGAAGAAAAATATATAAAAAAATGATAGATTCTATCGCTTCTTTGGATTTTAGATTCAATTCTTGTTGCGCGCTGTTATCATCATCATCATCATCATCATTGCCATCGTTTGTCGTATAACATAACCAGATAGAAAGAATAAGAAAATGATGAACGATTGCTATTGCCCACACCACCATCACCATTACCGTCATACTGAACATACAATGAACAATGATGATAATGATTATTATTAATGCTCTTGGCACAACAGTATCATTATTCATTTTTTTTCATTCATTCATTTATTCTGTGTGGCTTAGGCTTCATGTTCAATCTAACTATAGCTATATTTAGGGATGTATGTGTGTGTATGATGATGATCATGATGATCATGATGTCGAAACATATACAAGTTCTAAAGCTCGGAAATAAAATGAATGGAATGGAATGATTCCAACCGAATACACACACACACACATGTATAAAATATAGATAGAGGCCCCTATATGTGAAGCAGTCATGATGACAAATGACTTGAATACAGAGGAGCCTTGTTGTTGTTGTTGTTGCTGTTATTGTTGGATCTTGGTTTTGCTGACTGTTTTTTAGGGGATTCCTATGGCCCTATTGATATACATTTCTGGTTTCATCATCATCATCATTCACTATTATAAACATCATATGTATGTTTTATATGGTTTGTTGGATATGCATGTTGTGTGTGTTTATGTTCTATTAAGTCATTGGTTGTTAGCGGATTGTTGTTGTTGTTGTTGTTGTAGATCGTGGTGATGATGATGATAATGATGATCATGATCAATCCTTGGGCCCTTAGTAATGTTGTTGATGGTTATGATTATAATAATGATAGTGTGATATTAAGACACGGAAAGATTAATGATAGCTGATGATGATGATCATTATGGTGATCAAGAATGAAGAATGACCATAAGCACATTCATCGAGGAAATAAGAATGGGAATAAAATACGAATCAATAATAAGATGCAAATTTCAGCGTTGTTGGTTCGATTTGATCGATATTTTTTTCAATACTGATTTTTAGATGTTTTCAACTATGCTATGATCGTAACTTTTTAGCTCAACAACCAAAATAGAAAGAGAATCATCAAATTGTCATCAAGAATTCATTTATAATTCAAAAATACACACACTAGCAAGTATGAGGGAAAAAACTAAAAACCAAAATAGATTAAATCAAATGGGAGGAGGAGATGAAAAAATCAATTTTTTCTATCTAAAATAGCATTGAAAAATAAATGAATGAAGTGAATGAAAGGAAATCCAGTTTCCTACTTTTTTTTCATTGTCCACAAAAAATATCTAAGCATTTTTTTTTTTAAAAACGTAAATTCAAAACCATACGGTTGTTGTCTTAGTTTTATTCTGTTAGTAAAATTCATCATCCACTAACTAAATATTCGAATTCATATTGGTTCATATGGATAAAAGCCGGCAAAAAGTTTCATTATAACTAAAATAGTTGTACAATGATTGTAAATTTTTTCCATATACATTATACATAATGAATTATCAACTATCATTATTTTCATACAAACACACACACACACACACACAAACACTTGGTTTGGTTAATGATTAGTTGTTTTTTTTTGTTATTATTATTGTAAAGTTAATTTTTTCTTCTTCTTTCCCTCTTTATTTCTGGTAACTGACAAGCTCATTGGATCATTAATAACAAACAAATGATGGTGATGATGATGATGATGATGATGATGGGTGAATGAGAAAAAAAATGACCAGAACAGATTGTTGTTTGTTTGGAAAAAAAATACTACAACTAATACAACTGAAAAATAAATGGTCAACATTTGTTGTAATACTCGATTTGACTGTATGTGTGTATCTTTGTGTGTGTGTGTTTCGTGTTTGTATTTGACTGCAATTGTATACAATGAACTGATTGACCGACTGACTGATGATGATGATGATGATGATGAAGGTTATTCATTGTAGAATGAATGGGACAACTATAACAACGAAAACGAAATGATCAATGTTTGGCAATGTTATTTTTTTTTGTTCAAGTAAATTTGTCGGATTCCACACCAACCAAATACATACCAAAAATGTAATGGCCTCATGACAAGCCCGAATGTATGTGTTGTGTGTAAAATCATTAATTTTATTCAATGTGTATATGACAGTTATCTATTCTCTCACACCATATTGAACAAATGACGACCATTTTCATTTTTTCTTTTTGAAATATTTTTTTTTCGTTATAAAAAAAGAAGAAGAATAATAATCTTTTATTATTATCAACAACAAAAACATGTCATTTGTTTGTTTCGCTTCACTTGGGCGGATGGATATAATTAAATTAGCGAAACTTGAGCTTTTGAATTTTTTTTCCGTGTTAAAAAAAAATTAAGAAAAGAATATTCCTGGAGAAAAAAAATAGAAACACTGTGGACGAATATAAGACGAATGAGCTTAAATTTGATCAGAAGTTTGGATCGTTTGAATGATAAATTCAAAATTGTCATTATAAACTATCATAATATGGTGATCAATTGCGTGTTACGAGATCATTTGTTAAATCTTTGAATTAAATGTATAAGTTCGATAGAAAGATAATGATCATCACGAAACAAAATCACATCATCACTACTTATTACTTGATTGTCCAATCTCTGAAATTAAAGCTAAAATGACAATAATAAACATTTGTCTTCTGTTACTATTATTATCCAAATGGTGGTTGTTCAAATGATAATAATTATGATTAGTTATTATAGATAATTTTGAACAAAAAGCAAAAAGACAACAAAAAAAATTGTTCATTTGTCACCATATATTCTATAATTTATGTATTATGCTACGCTGTGACTATTTCGGCATTATTTTCAAATCTAATCTTCAATCTAATGATAAACATTTAATCATGATTAATTGATCTACTTTGTCTGACTTGCAGAAATATCATATATGATAGATAGACAGATAGATAGATAGGCCAGATGGATTGATTGTTGAATTGGACAATGAAAACAAACAACTTCTCAGTTTACCATGGTTTGAATCACTCACTCATACACACACACACACACACACACACATTGAATTTATCGATGATTCCATCAATCATTTTTTATCATTCGATTTGTCATTTGTTTGAATTGAAAATTAAAACGATGATTCCATTGCTAGTTCCGGCTATTGTTACATAATAAATGATTTCAAATGTATCAATCATCAAATTATCTTTTGTTCCGCAATACGGTTATTGGATGAAATACTGAAAATAATTGATTGAAAAAAAATTCGACATTTCAAGTACGAACTGTTCGAAAAAATATGACATCAAATCGAATCGAATTGAAAACAAATAAAATGTAAATGAATGAATGATTATCATTCAAGTTGTTGTTGTTGTTATTGTTGACCTTCGAAAATGAACGTGGGCCAAATAAAAATTAATTTCAAATCAATTGCTTACCAATCGATTGATGGTGATGATCATTTGACCACATTAAAGAGAGAATAAAAACGAAACGTTGTTTGTTTGTTTGTTATTTA